GAAGGGTTGTGTGTTTTGACCAGAGAGGTAAAATTAGGTCAAGTTACGCCTTTGAAAAATGTTTCGAACATTTCCCATTTCACATTGTGGCTAATGTTTTAAAGAGTAATTCTACATTCACTGAATTTGTGGTTTATAATTAGGATTGGTCGAGAGTTTTAAATTGTATACACCAAATAATATGATAATGTGTTTCTTAACTATAAGTTTTAGCTCGCCTTCGTTCTTTAAGTATTAAATTATGGGACTTAGTTGCGGAAATTGAAAATGGTTAATAGATGTGAAATAGGAGTGCATCACAAGTTCAAGTTCAAGTTCAACTTATAATATTATAAGTATGAAATTGTGTGTAGCGAATTTGTTATTTAAATTCCACTCGATCCGTTTGAGTATCTCAAATGCGTATCATGGATTTTAGTGTTTTGGGTCAAGCTCATTGTTGGTCTCTTGACCACCATGACTTGCATTCCTAGTTTGAACTTAAATGGTTTGTGATGTGAACAAATATAAAAAATGTCACTAGGCCATCCCAACTTTATCATGTGTCCAATGTTCATATTTTAAGTCCACTTGTTTTTGGATAAAGATTATTGAACAATTATTTGTAATTAAATAATATGAAAATAACCAAAAAGCTGTTGATTTAATGTAAAAAAAAATAGATATGATAATATTAATAAGGATGGCAACATATACCTGTCAACCAAAAGAAAAAAAACATATACAAATATAATTATGTAATAAAGCATTGTCAGCCTGCGGATCGTGAATCTTTGATCCTTATTGATCTATGATGAAAGCACTGCAAAAGAAAGAATTATGTACTCCAAAAATAGCACAAAATTCGTAAGGAACAAATCCCGCACGTCTGTGAAAATTTAGAACTTGTCATATCAAGAGATCCTATGTGATCCTCTCTCCCCGTTCATTTATGTATTCCTATTAAGTCTCATAGACGTGCTAATGGTAGGAAATTTACTTTCGTTTAGGGACGTCATTGGGCGGCACTTTAAAATAATCAAGAATGCTATAAATTTAATTTGGTCAGGTAGTAATATGTGATTGACTTGAAACATCGCAACGATGACATTGTCTTTATATGAAAGTTTACTTATTCTCGTGATAATGACGTATGCTAAATAAGGTTGGTTGTTTGCTTGCTTGGAGATAAATAGTAACAAAAAAAGGGAAAATAGGATTTGCTTATTATTCGGTTTTAAGAGTTGTTCAGTTTTGTTTTTTCTTGATTGGCATGAGTAAGTGGCTGGGTACTATAACTGGAATAGATGTTTTTTTGTTTGGATCTGATAATGGGAAGCTTAGGTTCAAACCCAAATTCAACAAAAAGGTTACATATTCCAGTCTGATGTCTGCCCAATATGACTTTGCATTCCCTACCTTCCAAGCATGCTGATGGGATTAGAACATGTGGAACAAAAGAATTTGGAAGAAAAACAAATATATATAAACAAAAAAAGTAAAAGAATTTGACTTTGAGCATTGAAAAGCTCTTTCATGCCCCATATATGGATATGGTGTTGTTGGCATGATTGTGCATACATAATCAGTTCAGACATAATTCTCTCTTTCATGCACATGGAGGGGAAAGGGGAGCCAAGTATATTCTTTTTCTTGATGTATAGGCAAGATCTTGGGAGGCTAATGTGGCTCCCACACTCTTAATCAGATCTAATCAGAACCGTACATTAGTTTTACGTTGTGAATCAAGATCATACATTCGAAGAATAAACAAGATGGAATTAGAGCTTTTGGCTAAAATATGGGTAAAATTAGATAAAAATAAGGAAAATACTTCCATTCTTACCATATAAATAGGATCTCCTACATCCCTATCAATAGCAGTGTGACATGTTTGTATAATTTTTTTTTATTTTATGTTTTTGATGAATTATTTTTGTATATATGTCAAACTTTGATTCACAGTAGGGAGGCAAGCAGTATCCTAAAGATAATGAATTTCTTTTGCTTGAAAAACACAAGGCTTAAGAAAGTAGAAAAATTGATGTTGCAAAAGAGAAGCATATAACACATGGTAGGTGGGCTATGCATGGCATATATGTTACCTGTTTAATATATAAATAGTAGACAATGAATGGGGTATGATGGGATTATAACAAAGTCAAATGGGTATATTTTTTTTCTTTTCTTTTATAAACTTTAGATGATGGGATTAACATCCTTCCACTTTGTCCCCCCCTCATCCCTTAATTCTTTTTTGTTTTTCCCTTTTGTTTTTGGTTTGCTTTATTTGCTTGATGTTCTTCTTCCTAATGGGTGGAGGGTTCCCATCTCTCTCTCTCTCTCTCTCTCTCTCTCTCTCTCTCTCTCTTTCCTTTTGCCTTGAGCCATTGCTTTTCTCATAGGAAAGGAATATTGCCAGTGCTTCTTAAAACCCCTTTTGGGCCCCATCTCCAGTCCAATCATGTGGGCCCATCCTGTCTGGGCCTGGCCCCATATTTTTTTTAAAAATTCGTTGTTGCGTAAATCAATAGAATGCTGACGTGGCTTTTGTTGAGGGGTTGGTGTCGTTGAAGTGGAGACTTGGGCCCACCCCAAGCAAGCCACTTTGTCATACTCTCTCTCTCTCTCTCCTCTTCCTCTTTCTGCCTTTGAACCTTTGCTTGTTTGGTACACATGATTGACCCCCTAGTTTACATCATTTCACTCTCCCATGCTCTGTTCTTTTCCCACCCTAAGGCTTTTTAACCCACAAATGGATGAAGATGTAACAGCTGGTTAGGGTTTTGCTCAAGTGAAATTTGAAGCCACTTTGCCCTAGAGTGAAAATTTCTAGCATACAACACATATGTGCAATCAATATTTCTTTCTAAATCACTTTTTACATGTTAGTCAAGAATACACGGCGCTTTTTTCATAATCGTCTCTCATATGCTGGTTACGTAATTTGTCACCGTAAAAAAATAAAAATAAAAATAAAAGAAAAAGAAAAAGAAAAGAATGTTATATGCAAAATAGAATTTCTAGAAGAGGGGTACCCCTAAGACCACTATTCTAAGCACTATATGACAAAGTCCTTTTTGAGAGCATTGGATCTAGCGATCAACTTTAGCTAAAAAGAAAGTAATCCATTATATAACTACCTGACTTTAACAGACCTTTAATTACAAAAAAAATACACATAAACTAGGCACTTTGATTTTATAAAACACATAGATCTAAATCCTAACTTTAAAGGGATCCAATTTAAAAAATAAGTTTCTTCATGTTCTTCTCATCTCAGGATGCTTCAAGATCTGGTCATGGCTGATTCCTCTTCATCAGAAACTGATGTGGAGTTTGACTGTGGAATATATGGATGAACTTAAAAACATGCATTAAATGAATTGTACCCACAAGATTTGCAAGCTCAAAGTTGTTGTTGATTTGGACCACTGCACCATCAAATCTAGTTTGATTTGATGACACTTGTTTAAACCCTAAATAAATTTACCAAGCCTCTATTTACTGTGGTTGAATTTACCTATTCACTTGGGGTGTCTTGAGAAATCTGTCCAGTACCAATTGGTGCACTTTCATAACCAAACCAAGCAAAGTGGGTAAAAATATTACCTGCAGATTCTGATGCAGCAATTGAAATGGGATGATTTTGTGTAGTTTCCTTTCCTCTTTCAATTATGAACCATCTCTACCTAAAATTAAAGATTGATGGGATTCATTGGCTGGTTGGTTGAGGGACATGACAGATTAACAGGTGGTAAAGGACAGTATGGTTTGAATGACAATAAATGAGTGAGAATAACAATTTTCATATAAAGCATTCATCTCTCTACCCTCAGTTTTGCTACATTTTGGTATCCTGGTTCCTTCATTTAAAGAAATTAAGGACATGTTTTGCTTTAAGCTTGCTTTAAAAACCTTGTGGTCCATTTAGGTGTGACCACATTCAAGAATAGGTAGATGGAAAAAGACCAGAAGACTACCATATATATATATATATATATATACCATTGTCTTTATGTTCATAGAGTTAAGAACCAAATCCTTGTGGGCATTACCAAATAATACTAAGAAAAGACAAAAGAGATTATATAGGACTTGAAAGACTGGCTGGGTTTGAATTTTTTATTTTTTATAATACAAACGATAGTCTTAACTATAAGGGAGAGGAGATTTCTCACATACACACTGTTAAGGTGCCATGGGAGTTCGAACCTAAGACCGCTAATTTGCAAATCAATGCTCTTTTCCACTAGGTTAAACTTCGTTGGCCCTGTGTTTGATTTGTTCTGCATATTAGAATATGTTCCCAAATTACATTGAAGATGGGTGCTCCATATTATCTTTCATATCATTAATAATAAGCAGCCAATGCCCTTTCAAAAAATGCTTGAATTCTTAGACTGACTTAAAATTAAATACTGTCTCTCTCATATCAGTTTTTATGAAATTGAAGAGGCAGGGAATTCCAATCCAACCAAACAGACCATAACATACATGTAGAACTCCAAATGTTTGATCCCTTCCATTAAGGTTTTGGATCTACGGGCGCAATAATGAACCCCTCCCACAACCCCTCAGTATAGCATTTCCGGAAAATCTAACTTCCGTGTTCACATAAAGCCTTCAACTTGGCATGCTGGGCTTGAGAAAATCTCATCCATGTTGTGGTGGGAGAACCAACCCAAATGAAGTATGGTTTTGAGGACAGGATTGGGCCCTGATATCCCAAAAAGCATTGGGTTATCTGCGCATTTCCATGTCTTAATTCAAAATAGGCCTTAAGCATGTTACTTCACCCACAAGGCTCAAATTCAAGTGGTAAAAATGCATGGCAGAAACACTAATTCAAAGAATGATCAGATTGATTCAATTGAATTTTGTTATGCAAGGGTGTTCATATATAATAAATAAGAGATCAACCCAACTGTAGGATCCACAATTGAGAACTCCTGTTAATTTAATTTTTTGATCAGCCTGTTGTCACATTAAACATATTTTCCCCTTATATACTTGAGAAATTTGAATTAATAATATGATATGCTATATATATCATGTCTCCTCCCTCCCTAATCTCCAGCACAAAGCTCTTCTTCAATGGCATGAATATTACAACTAAATGCAGAATTTAGTAACTGAAGAGCAAAACTGACATAGCTACTCTTAAATCGCATAAATATGAGATTGCTAATTCTAAACCAACCTGCCAACTTGTACCTTTAAACAAAATAAAAAAGGGTAGAAGATTAAGAAAAGATGGGCAAGAAAATAAAACACATATAATAAGATGAGAAATATGACAAAACAAACTTAAGGGCAGCACAACTATTTTTCCTCCCATACACTACGTTCTCCCCGATCACCATCAAATTTTTAGTTGTTCCAAGCTTTGCACTGTCTTGGATTCCTGCAAACTGTTTGAAGATGCGCTTCCAGTTTCCTCTACTTGAGCTATCAAATCATTCTGTGGGGAAGAAGCAATAACAGCAGGAGGATCTGCTTTCCGAATGACTGGAAGATCTTCTTTCACAATGATTGGAGGATCTTCTTTCCGAGTGGTTGGTGGATCATCTTTTCTAATCGGTGGAGCAGAAAATACAGGCACAGCCTGCCTCATAGTGACAGGTGGAGCCACTCGTAGTGGTGGGACACGCATTGCCTGGCAGGGCATCACAGGAGGTGGCGGAAGTGGTGGTGCCGAGAACACAGGCACTGCTGTCCTTATTGTCACTGGCGGTGCAATCCCATGGCAAGGAGTCCTCAATTGTCGGATGGGAACATAGGGAGCTGCTCCTGCAGCAGGGAATCTATTGGGACGCAAAACACGGCTTTCTAGTGGAGAAGGCTGTGATGATGGGATACGATTATCATTTGTTGCATTTGATTGGAGTCTGCTGCGAGGAGCTTGCTTTTGGCAAATTAAGGGCAGTATTTTTGAGGTGTGAGCAGATGGAGGCTGTGGACTTGTAGGTCTGGCGTTATGAACTGGAAACTTCTTCGGAAATAGTATTGGAGCAGTTGGATTTGCCATCTTTTCCTTCAAACGATAAGTAAGCAAGGCTCGTGCTATAGTGATTTGTTCCAGCTCATCATTGTTCTCTGGTTCAGATGAAGAACTCGCAGTTTCCTTTGCCACTGGCCAAAAGAAAACACGTGATTCAAGTTAAAGCAGAAGTTCCTAGACATTGATCTGGACTCTCCAAAATTATGTCACCAAGCTTACAACTTTAATATGTAAAGATGACACATAGGTAAACTGCTCCATTGATTTTTTATTTATTTTTTGAACGGTAAAAAGAACATGATGTGTAAGAATGACTTCAAAGAGGAGCATATAAGTGACATCAATTTCATAGATGAGTTCAGAGTTATAATGAGTTGCTGAAGATGCCTTAATATCATACAGATAGGAATGATAAAAAGCCAGAAACCCTTTAAGGTCGCAATAACTAAGAACATTAAAAACTAAGCAAGAGCTCCAATGAAGACTGTTGTTTAATGCACCAAATAAATTTTAGCATAAAAAAATGCACCAAATTAGTTCAACATACTTGATTAAGATGGATCTTAAAGTAAAATCAAATTCCAACTATGGGGTAAGGATCTAACTATATGTTGTGTAATTCGTAAATGTAATGGGATGAATATAAGCCTGACCACCACTCACATTGCTTCAAAGATGACCAAGCTGCCATTGCTGCATTCTTCTCAGCTTGTTTTTTGTTCTTAGCAGGTTCCCCTGTAAATGTGATTCCAGCCAATTCAACTGTCCCAGTGAAAACAGGTAGGTGGCCAAGGCCAGACCTGAATGTTGTGTATTGCGGCAATGGAGCTCCAACTCTTTGAGCAATTTCCTGCAAGAGGTTCTTGTAAACCCCCGTCTCATCCTGAGAAAATTAAGGCCTTATCAGTATCAAGACAACATAACTAATTAAAGTACAAAAACATTGTATACGAATAATCAAAGTCCACATGCATATTGAAAGTGACAATGACATTGGGAAAATTACACTGACCCGATAAAACTAATAATATTTGGTAGCAAAATTTTAATTTCAGCAATACAATAACCAATGTTTCCAAGATTCGTTTGAAAGGGAACATAGTTTAGGTGTCCTATCAATTTGCAACCAACCCAAAAAGTTGATAAGGCATGGAAACAAAGTTTAATGGGCATTTCAACTTCCGTGATACCTATTAATCCAACTAAAATGCATTCAACTTCCATCAAAAACTACACTGTCAGGTTTGATGAGATCAAATTTCCTCTCAATACACCAATACGCATGTCAACTTAAGAATTGAAACAATTCCCTATAATATCATTAGTATGAAGAATTTATTTATATAAAAAAAAGAAAAAAAAAAAGACTTCCTCTGTTTTCCCGGCAACCAATCAGGCGGTCAACGAGGAAGAACAGGTTCCATAAAGTTGACTGTCGAAACCCACATTTTTATGACCAAAACACCCCTTGTTGAATGATTTAATTACTGACATTTCCATTTTACACGGTGGTCAGCTTTTCAGAATTCAGAGAATCAAACTGCATTTTAAGAACCCTAAGTACAAAAAGAAGGGGGTTACTTCCGTCATTACCCAAGTTCCTAACCCCAAAGCCCCATCCCGGCCGGCCAGTGATCTACACCTCCGACTCCTACACAACTCCTGTGCGCGGGACAAGCTTGATCACTTGCACGGCGCACATTAGCAACACAAATACAAAAAGAAAACCAAAACTAAAAATTAAAAAACAAAATTAAAATTAAAATTTTTTAAAGTATGGTTTTCAATTGCGAGTTCAGAAACTAAACGATCAGTGAGAAAGCGAGCAAACAACCAAAAGCCACCGAGCGGCGACTGAGAACCACGCGCGCAAAACCCTAACGTAGCCCTAACGGCGACAGGAGAAGGAGAGAGAGAGAACTGACCAGAATCCTAGCGGCGAGAGAGTGAGAAGGACCGCGATTGGAGAGGTAGTTGAGGGCGACCTCGGCGGCGGAGTGCTCGGCCTGACGGAGGGTGGAGCAGTAGTGAGGGCTCTCGAAGATCTCGCCGTTAAAGTTGACGGTGGCCTTGAACCTGGGCGCGTGGTCTGGACCTTCCCGAATGCACGTGTAGGAAGGCAAATTGAAGCAGCTCCTTTGGGCCAGCTCTTGCAGCTGGTTCTTGTACATTTCTCCGCCCCTTACTCTATCCTGCCTCTCTCTCTCTCGCTCTGTCTCCGACCCGACTCTTCTCCGAGCTCCGAGTTCGGGTGCTGTAATGGGAGGAGCCCGGATCGGATCGGCGCCGATTTCGGGTCGGGTCGAAGCTGGGCTTATGTTTTGGGGGGCCGGCGAGAAATGGGACCGGCTAAGATCAGAGGTTTTTAGGGTTTTTTTGGGGTGGGGATGTGAAATTGAGTTTGAGAGAGAGAGGTTTGGGGCTTTGGAGTTGGGGGATGTGAAGCTGAAAAAAGCAGAGAGAGAGAGAGAGAGGGGGGGAGAAAAGAGAAAGGAGGGGGGGTAATATTTTGGAGAGTGGAGTTTTTCTTTTTGGGATGTAATTATAAAATATTGGGGGAGTTTAATTAAATAATGGGGTTTTATTTCTGGGAGTCAACTGAACGTTAGGCTGCATGGGTTCATGGATGTGATCTTTTCCTAGATTTTCTCATTTTCTTTATTTCTCTTTCTTGTTGTTTTCCTTCTTTTTCCTCATTTTTCATTTTTTTCACATTTCTCCTCCTTTTTATCAATTAACTCTTAGCTTAATAGTATCTCTTCTCAACTACTGAGGTTGTTTCAAACTTGAATTTGAACTTTTGGTAGACTTTATTACCAGTTACTAATCACCAGTTAAGAGCATTCAATTTTTCTTCTTAGGAAGTAGAGAAAATATGATACTTTTTTATTTAATGAGTGTCTTACATGCGCTGATTAGGCGCGCTAATTAGTTCCTAGTTTTGAAAATTGTTTCAAACTTGAGTTTAAATTTTGTAGACTTCATTGCCAGTTACTAATCATCAGTTGAGAGTATTCAATTTTTCTTCTTAGGAAACAGAGAAAATTTGATATATAGTATTTTTACACAATGAGTGTCTCACATGCATTTATCAGGCGCGCGCTCGTCAATTCCTAATTTTGGAAGTTGTTTCAAACTTGAGTTTAAATTTTGTAGACTTGATTACCAGTTACTAACCATCATTTAAGGGCATTCCATTTTTCTTCTCAGGAAGAGGAGAGAATATGATATATATATAGTCGTTTTATACGACGAGTGTCTCACATGCATTGGTCAGGCGCGCTGGTCAAATATTACACATGATAAAGCTTTGGATATCATCTTACCCATTGCCTATGTACACAACATGTGTCTTATATACAATGGTTATAACTTAGCAAAGTTGTTATGTTTTATACGAGTGTCTCGCATGCATTGGTCACGTACATTGGTCAAATGATTAATACATGACCAATGCATGTGAGACACTCGTTGTATAAAACATAACAACTTTGCATAAGTTATAACCAATGTATGTAAGACACCCGTTGTGTACTTCTGCAATAGGTAAGATGATATCCAAAATTTGCTCATGTGTAGGATTTGCATTTATGGTTACCAATCATCTCCTGCATAATTGACATTTATTTTGCATAATGATATTTTAAAAATTCGTTTTTATTCTCGTGGAACCGTATTAAAAAAATTAATAACTTTTATTTGAATAATGTTGGAAAATGTCAAGTTTTTTTTTTTCTAGGATTTAAAAAGTATTTGTAAAAAGGTAGTGATTTCCACACTTTAATTTTGTACATTTGCAATCATTTTCCTTGTTTTTACAATTTTATCTTCTTGTTTCTATTGAACTATCAAAACATGAAAGTAAGAGGGAGATGCAAGTATATAAAATAGTGTCACCTAATTAATTGGTATATATAATACAAAAGATAAACAACGTCTGGTCCCTTAATTTATTTTCCAATTTTTATGTAGAGAAGCTAATACCGATGCTGCACATAGATTGGTAAAGTTTGCCTTGTCTAAAGAAGTGTCTTCGTTTTGTGTAGAGGGATCCTGATTTCATTCAGAACGCCATATTAGTTGATTTTGTGATTGTCCAGGCTTTCTTTTAAAAATTAAAAAATAATGTATTTAAGTTTGTTAAAAATAATTTTGGGCAGTGTGCCGGTCCCCTTGCACTTGAGTTTGATCTCCCTTCCCGTATATTAGAATAGTTTACAATATTGCTTTTGTAATAATTTAAATAATAATAAAAAATCCATTTCACGGTAATAGGATTTGTAAGGAAACTCAATGGATTTTCCCATTCCGCCATTTCATAGGTATCTTATTCCAATGTATAACATGCTTACTTATTTAGAACGAGGGAATTAAGAAATTAGGAAACTTAGAAATAGGGGAAGTAAGGAATAAAAATTAGATCAACTATCCTCCCTTAATTGATCTAATTCCTGGTTTTGAAGATATTGAATTACATATTTTAAAGTGAAATTTTTATGTTTGGAAAAAAAAGAAAAATAAAAGAAAAAAAGGTATTTAATTAAATGCAAGTAAAGACTGAGTGCTGTACCGCAATTTAGATAAACGTCAATTTGCGACCCTATGCTTCGGCTTGCGTACGTATACACCCAATTTATTTATGTAAATCTTAACTTCATTGATTTGAAAACAACAGCTACCGGTGCTGTTGTTCCTCATTTCTACTCAAGTTGGTATCGTTTTACCAATCATCGCCAATTTCAGGCAAAAACGGATCATATTTGCAAGCAGTGAGAGACGGTGAATTTGAATTTGCAACCTCTTTTAATATTAAGAAGAGATGTAATATTAGATCGAGTTTTAAGAGACGTTTGAGTCGACCAAACAGAAATATGGTTGATTCATATGTAACTATATGCTCTGTATGAGTAAATAATGCAATCTTACAAATCTCCAAACCATGATGTTGTAACTTGTACTAACAATTATCCAATTATAAGGCAAAAATTAAGTGACCCTCTCCATGTATCCAACCCTAAATGTGTTGGAGATGAAGCCTTGGCAATGTAGATTATGGACCAATCGAAATTGGTCCCTACGAGGAACAATTATGGAGTTTGGGCCATGCCCTTTTAAACATAATAAATACGACCATGTAATAAATAATACTGTAATCAATCAACATATGAGTACTTTCTTTTTTCTTTGTTTTGACAAGTCATGAGAAACAGCTACATTTGAGCATAATTATAAGTTCCCTTTCTAGCTAAAAGGATTTGAATAATGCATGGCTAATCACATGTTAGTCTACCCGTGAATGAAACATTTCTCATTTTTGAGGAGGTTATTTGAGAAGAGGAAGGGCTACCTCTATTATAATTTCTCCTTTTACAGTACGGTAAAGCTCAATTCTATTACTATAAATTTCTCATAAACTCATGTATTTTATTGTTGAGAATAGCGACTCGAATTAGCGGTGTATTACATGAAGACTACTTAGCGACAAGTTGGGGACAAACAGTTACCAATCGGCTTGCCGTGGAACGTAATATGTCACTCTCGATGCAAGGCAACCGGTCGGGCATAGATGGGCTATCGGACGGCTTATGAGGTTCACATATTTTCTATTTGTATTTCAAGTCCTATTCGATTATGTTTGGATTTCCTTATTTTCCTATAGGGTTGTGTGACTTGTTTAACAGAGCTAGGGTTTTGGAGACGTCCATAAATATATCCTTAAGTGTAGTAGCTTCTTTGTGACTTACAATGTAACTTAGCTTATCAAGGTTACGAGATATAACCTTTAGACCCCGTTTGGTTTATGGGAAAGGAGGCTATTGGTTTCACATGTTTGGTAAGTTTAGGTATGTGAAATCGTTGCCTGACACATGAGATAGTATGAGGGAAAGTGAAGTCTTCCTCCCAATTTGGGTTTTGTTTTCCCTCATCTTGGGAAAGTTAGGGAAAATAAACCAACATTAAATACACATTTTTCATGATCATTTTATCCTCATTAACAATTTAGAATTACAATATATCATTGAATGCATTCTTTTTTTATTTGATTTAATATGGGTATAATTGAAAAATTATATCAACTTTGTTTTCCATTCATACTTAAAACAAACATGGGAAAAAAAATAAAGTGATTTCTCCTGGTTACTTTCCCAACTTACCAAACATGGTAAAGAAATCTTCCATTTCCTATCTCTTGGAAAATGACATGGGAAATAATTTTCCCTCAAATCCGTTCTATGAACCAAATGGGAACTTAGGGTGTGAGCTTTTGGCTGTATGTGAAATCTCTATTGAAAAAGGTTTGATATAGTGACATTTTTTTGAGAGTGTGGAGGCAAAAAGAGGCCACTTCCTCTTCGTTTTAATTTTGCTACTTTCATAATGGATAATCGCCATATCGTCAGTCGAAGGTTAGCCTAGTTTGAAGTGAACCTTGTAAAACCCTTGCATTGTTTACTTGTTGTTTTATGTATATACTTTTTTGTTGGTTGTTTGTGCCATCTTAGGCTAGGAATTGTTTGAAATTCCTAATAATTGGTATGAGAGTGAAAGATGATATGAAAAAAAAAAAAAAAACCTCAACTGCTCACAATGTGCACGAGTACTAGTTGGAGAATCATCATAAGAGGTTTGGTCCTCTGATTTGGTAATTCTTCAGAGATAATCCTAGTGAAGAGGATTGTTTAGCTTTCATGTTTTCTCTTGCATCTATGTCATTGTCATTGGTACAACTTGTGTTATATTAGTAGAGGTAGTGGTGGATCCATAAATTTTCTTTAATGGGAGCAAGAAAACATTACTGCAAAGCCACTGATAATGAAGATAAGTCGACTCTTTAATGTAAGAAAAAAAAACATATTCATGCACAAATTAGTAACATAATACATTCTACCTAGTTCCTCTATTGACGACCCAAAAGGAGAATGAGAAAAGTGAGTCTAGAGAACAAGTAGAATAACATAAGTAGAGGAGTAGAGCATGTTGCCCCCTTGCACTCCTCCTTAGTCTTCTTTAAGGCATTTTATCAAACAACTGGCGCTTATTAAATACAAAACTTCATAAAAAATTGGCACATTCATAGGTAAATAATATAATTGAGTGAGGGCAAGTACCTTCACTGGACCTTTAATGGATACGCCAATAGGTGAAGGGTGAGTTTCTTTTCCCCTATTTTCCCATGTGTCAGGCAACCATTTCTACCACTCTGTTAGGATGCCTAAGCTGCATCCATCACTACACTTCCACTTGACACATATCGTAATGATAAACGGCTCGTCTCGCCGTGACCTTCTCTTAAATTCTCAAAACTTCTATCGCTCCACCCTCGCATGGGCTGAAAACCCATTGAAGTCTTAGCTGTGCTGCTCATGCTTGGACTTACTAAACATGAGAAATTATTTGATAAATAATTTCTCATTTCTAAAACCCATTTCCATGAACCAAACCTACCCTTATAAATTGACAAGCACAGCCAGAAAGTTATGAATCATTACACCATTGATCTATTTGTTCATTTAA